TTTTCTCCCAATCTGAGGGCTGTCTTTTCACCTTGCTTATAGTTTCCTTAGTTGTGCAAAAGCTTTTAAGTTTCATTAGGTCCCATTTGTTTATTTTTGCTTTTGTTTCTAATATTCTGGGAGGTGGGTCATAGAGGATCCTGCTGTGATTTATGTCGGAGAGTGTTTTGCCTATGTTCTCCTCTAGGAGTTTTATAGTTTCTGGTCTTACGTTTAGATCTTTAATCCATTTTGAGTTTATTTTTGTGTATGGTATTAGAAAGTGTTCTAGTTTCATTCTTTTACAAGTGGTTGACCAGTTTTCCCAGCACCACTTGTTAAAGAGGTTGTCTTTTTTCCATTGTATATCCTTGCCTCCTTTGTTGAAGATAAGGTGACCATAGGTTCCTGGATTTATCTCTGGGCTTTCTATTCTGTTCCATTGATCTATATTTCTGTCTTTGTGCCAGTAAGGACTGGTTCTTTCTGATAGCTGTGAAGGATAACCTGTTCACTCTCACCTGGCTTCTTGCAGTTTGCTGTAACTTGCAGCATTCCTTGGCTTCTGTAGCATCACCGGGATCTCTCCCTTCCTCTTCACATGATATTCTCTGTGCATGACTGTGTTCAAAATCCCCTTTTTTGTAAGAATGTCAGTCACACTGGTTTAGGGGCCCACCCCCTACTCCAGTCTGACCTCACCTGGGTCAATAATATCTCCAGTGACTCTATTTTCAAGTAAGGTCACATTTGGAAACACTCGAGGATTTACGACTGCAACCCCTGAATTTTGGGGGAACCCAATTCCACCTGTAACAGTATCCTGTCCTTGAAAACCCTTTAATGTACTTCAAGCAGTTGCAGGAGTCAGTCAATACTCGGGAAAAATCCAGTTGCCTGATTTCAAAGCTGTGGGCAGTGGATTCATTTCATCATTTAAGAACAGACGTTCACAAACTGATGTTCGTAAAGGTGAGCCCTGTAACCTCCGGGGAATTACACACTTACGTCATCCTACTCTGGGTGGTTGCCCCCGTCTTGCCTTCCCCTGAAGCAGTCAGGATGTATTTTATGAGGGTGTGTGCATGCATGGATATGAGAGAGGCTGGCTTTCAGCAGCCAAGTGCTTTTCCTTTTGTGAAAAAACAGACGTTGCATTAGAAACAATGTTTAAAAACAGCAGGGCGAGGTGGGGGAAGGTTATCTTTTGTTGCACAGTAAGGATGTTTGTGAATACACAGATTTCATATTCTGCATCCCCTTCAGTGCTGTTCTGTTCAAGGAGTCCTACTGTAGATTCTCAAGCACGTCTGTCTCAGTCTTTAGAGTGTGATCCTCTATGTTTAAGTTTGTCTGAAGCTTGGCATAGTATCTTAACCTAATCTAAAATTCTGTAGGACCTTGCTAAGGAAACCTTGTGAACTTTTGTATTTTAAAGTTAAACCAATGAACCAGAATGTGCTTTATTGTTTCATCATGTGGATTTCTATAATGGTGGGATACATTCTTGTTCAGAGATGCATGGATGCTACATCTTGTGTGAAGCCCCACTTGGAGTCAGGGCCATCCTCATGACGGATCTTACCACTAGATTAGGAACTCTCGGGAACAGAATTGCCTTATTTTTATCTATTTTATCTTTGGATCCGTAATATCAAACAGTGTATGGCGCAGAGTAGAAATTTAATTGGGAGAGATGAAGTGCTATAAAATAATTGAAGTTACTTTCTGGAACTTAGAAATTGATTGACTTGAAATGTAAAAGAAATGTTGCAAAAAAAAGAGAAATGTTGCTGTTTTAGGCGAAAAATTGAGGAGGGGCAGCTAGTGCAGTAACAGGAAATCCAAGTACAGGTCATCCAGTTAAATGTGAATTTCATGTAAATGGCAAATATGCTTTTGTGCATATTTGGAATTGTGCATATTGTTTCAGGTAGTTAGTATAAGTAATATAATTCTTAATATTGGGTGTATTAAAGATGGAGCAAATACCTTTTTGGAGGTTACAAAGTTAAAAGTAATGGAAGTGAAGTTACATGTACACATATATTCTCTGTTTAGTCCTGCATTTCAAAGCTGGGGTAACCACAAATGATGGAGTCTAAACCACTGAGTTTATAAAATGAAGAAATCAGAAATATCAGCTAGGATATAGAATTTTAATTGTTAGAGTAGAGAAGGAAACTGAATTGGTTGCAAGACTACACTGATTAACTTATTTTCAAATAATGTGTATATATGTATAATAAAAGCTCTTGTATGTATAATTATATGCATACTTGAATTATAAAATTTAAATATATATGAAAACATATAAAGGTGTGTATATTTTCATGGTGAAGAATAATCAGTTTATCATTTAGTAACATTTTTACACTACTTGAAGAAAAACAAGTGAATATTCTATTTTATTAGTTTAAGACTGCAACTGTCAACTGATTACTTCTTAGTTCACTGCAAATAACCAGGGACCTTTGGACTATTTATGCAACAATGAAATCAGTTCTATTACTCTTCATATATTAAATTATTATAGAGAATACAAATATACTTTTGATCTATTAGAATGCATTAAAAAAACAACTCCAGACTTTTATCTAAAATAAAAATAGGCTGTTTAATATTCTTTTGCAAAGAGGATACATGGATATCTAATATTAATGTAAAAATCAGAGACATTACTTTGCCAACAAAGGTCCATCTAGTCAAAGCTATGATTTTCCAGTAGTCATGGATGGATGTGAGAGTTGGACTATAAAGAAAGCTGAGTGCTGAAGAATGGATGCCTTTGAACTGTGGTGTTGGAGAAGACTGTTGAGAGTCCCTTGGACTGCAAGGAGATCCAACCAGTCCATCCTATAGGAGATCAGTCCTGAATATTCATTGGAAGGACTGATGCTGAAGCTGAAATTCCAATACTTTGGCCACCTTATGCGAAGAACTGACTCACTGGAGAAGACCCTGGTGCTGGGAAAGATTGAAGGCAGGAGGAGAATGGGACAACAGAGGATGATGAGATGGTTGGATGGCATCACCGACTTGATGGGTATGAGGTTGAGCAAGCTCTGGGAGTTGGTGATGGACAGGGAAGCCTGGTGTGTTACAGTCCATGGCAAAGAGTTGGACACGACTGAGCAACTGAACTGAACTGTAACATATTTATATCTAACTATATCAGTTGTTAAAAGTCTGCTTAAAATGAACTGAATAGTGATCAAGTAAAATCTGAAAGAAACTTTTCTTTCTCTGACTCATGAAACATTGGAATTAATTAGATATCAATATCATAAATGTTGTATACCTATCTCATAAGATGGTGTACCTTTGTATCTAAAATAATTCAAGTTATTTAAATGCAGCCAAATCCTATGGATTAGGATAATTTTTGCCTGTCTGAAACATTCTCGGCTTTCTGAGAATTAATCTCAGCTGATTAAGAGATTTTCATCAGTAATTAGAATTACTCCAACTGATGATGGAAATTTTGTCCATAAAAAAATTAGGATTTGGGGGAACTGTTATTTGAAGGAATAGAAGACATGGATATGATCCTCCAGAAGCTTCCTGTGAAGAATTGAGTTGGTGGTTGAATGTTTGATAATTTCAGAGTATATAGATTCCTCTTCAGCTAGTTAGCTGCAGGAATGCTTTAATATTCTGGAGACAGTTTTGTTCTTCTTAAAATTATTAAGTGTTAAATATCCACCTAATAAGAAAAAGGTATTTAAAGTTTTAAAATATTATTTAAATTTATTATAATTAGGGATAAAAAGAAGTAAATGGTTAATTCTAAGAGTTGTGCTGCTAAAAGTTCAAACAATAAGTGGATAGAGATGAATCCATTTGCTTTGTTGACATGAAGATCAGGCATGACCTTAACTTGCATGTTCTATGTAATAGAGGGGTCAGAAATAAGATTAGATTACTTGGTGGAAGGAAAGATAGATCAGAAAATAGAAACAACCAATGTAGATGCCTTTTTCTTAGGTCTCTACTGTAACTATCAGCTCATGAAAAGCTTTCTTTGCTACCAGTGCAGGCAAACCACAACATTGTCATGCTCAGGTTTTGACTTTTATTAAAATATATTTTTACCTTCATAAGAATATTCAAGCACATTAAGAATCTAAATGATAATGTTACAGAATTCATGTACCAACCCATTTAGTTTTAGTCCATTAACCAGAAGTTTTTCTTCATGACTTCTGACCTCTTAGAGGTAATATATTATAACTCGGATTGAATAAGTTTTAATGCTTTCTTCATGTTTTCTATCACTGTAATAAAGTAAATACACATTATTAGTAAATGAGAGTATAAAATTTTATAATTAACCCTGAATCTAAAATCAACCTGTTTAACAACTATAAAGATATGGGGATTTATTTGCAACATTAAAAACTATTATATGAAAGTGTACACATAAATTTAGGGATTAGACCTTTAAGAACTGATTAATTAACTTTACGTTAAAGAATTTTTTCAGAGGGATTTGAGGGGGTATCTGTTTTGGTAACTGATTATTTTTTATTAGTTTCGTTGGAAATGACAGGCATAACTATCTTATTAAGCATAGCTGATAGTGAGTGCTTTTAAGAATGAAAGTCTCAAGTCAGACTGTATCTCCTTGCTTATAGTCATTAAAGGAAGAGGAAGAGATTTAATTGTTAATCACTTTGAGGAAACCACATATGATCTTTGATATGAGAAGAATGGACAGGTTTTCTTAAAGTGTAATTTTAATGTGTACTCTATCCTGTTTGATGGTCTTAACATTTAGTGATCACAAGGACTGTTAGAGATCCCTGTTGAAAAAAAGAGATTTCAAGTTGTCCCAGAAATTCTGATGTCAATTGGAGCTAACAGCTTGCATTTTAACCACAACCACCACTGCCAATCCCAGGAACTGTGATGGGTGGGAAGCACTGTTTGAGGGAAAGTGCGGATGGAGGGCATCACTCACCCTTATAACAGTCAAGTGTTGCTAGCATCACTGTTTAAAATAATTTGAGAATACTTACATAGTGGTAAATCCTGAGGTTCGTATGTATATAATCTGTTCGAGTATCTTCCGGTTATATCAGCTCTGACCGTTAAAGAAGGATCTGCCCACAAAATATAAGTTACTTACATACTTTTTAAAAGTTCTGAAAATCATTCATGCCTCTAGCTCTGAAACAAACATTAAACATATTTACAAGCTAAATCAGTTTTCATACATGTTAATTCATGATGAGTTAATCTGAATTTCCATTTTAGTGTGCTACAGCTATCAACATAGTTTAGAGAACTGTACTGCAAGTATTTTGGGGATTGATTAAATAGCATGAGTTAATTTTAAAATAAAACTAATATTTATAAGTTGCAAATATAGATATAATGAGTCTGATTGTTGAACTAACAAGAGCTGTTGTTGGACTGGGTTACTAATGACTCCGCTTTAAAAGGAATAGTACTTGAACTAACATTTGAAAGTAAATAAAAGCAAGAAGGCTACTGATTTTGTAAATCTGATGGGAAGAGATTACACAATTACCCACAAACATGATTCTAGGCACATATTGTCCATCAGGTGATAAATTCTTATCTGTGGTCTCATGCTAGCAAAAGAAGAAAAAAAATGTTATTGGATTGTTTTTAACATTTGATTTGAAAATAGTTTATGTAAACAGGTTTTCAGTAAATTGTATATTTTAGCCTTTTACAATTCTATATAACATTCAATGTCCACTAATACTGTAGAGCTCTTTTTGCCTTTAAATAAAGACTAAAAGAGATTAAACTTTTCCATTGAATTGAAATATTAAAAAAAATTGTAGAGATCATGTACCATGAGATTCAGCATGATGAAATTATTCTGAGCCATTTCTTGTATTTCTTTATTTTGGGCAAACACTTTTTTTAGTGCTGTGGGGGAAGATATAATGCCAGTTAGTTTCAAGGATCAAGATGAGTTTAAAATAATGTAGCAAAATAAAGCTAGTATTTTGTTTGCTTCTATAACTTGGATGTTAATAGTTGATTGGCCCATTGCTACTCTGTCTCTCATTGGAAAACAGTGAGGGACACAGTCTATCCAAGGTGGGGGGGGAGCATCAAGGGATAATCACATTGAAATCACCAGTTTTATAATGTTACTTCATTCATTGACTCATTGGTTAAAGCATCATCTTTTCAGCCAGTTTTCCCACCTTTTTGGGGGTCAGGGGAGACAGAGGGATATAAAATCCTGAAGGACACATAATATAAATACATTCAGTGGATTGCTAACAATCGTTGTAGTCAGTAAGTCCCTTAGTAAAATGGTGGTACTCTATCAGTTGTCTTTTTTTTTTTTTAATTTTGAGTGCCTTCTTAATTTGTAGCTAGGTCATTTTCTTACTTCATACTGAAAATACAATACAATCTTAAAAGCATAAATTACCTTGGCAATATTGACAGTCCTCCAAGTGATGAATAACCATCAGTGGCTTGTTACTAAACAGAGAGAGTGTGAAATTGAGCCAAGTGATTCATTCGAGTCAAACTGTACAGGGAAATTAGATTTAAGGTTTTCATACTTTGTGTAAGACATTAAAATTCTCAGGTTGACAAATCACAGCGCTGAAATCTATGGTAGTGTTATTCATAAGATGACCCCAGAACTGAAGCATCAGCCTCACCAGAGATGTAGCTCATTAGAAATGTAAATTTTCTGACTCTCTCTGGGTCCACTCAATCAGAATCTCTGGGGGTGAGGTCCAGGAATCATAGCTTAACAAGTTGACCAGGTCATTCTTACATATACTGTAGTATAGTTAGAAAGATAGAGTCAATTCTGCCTCCAAAGTTGAAAGGATATGAACAAGACATTCATTTCCAGTGAACACGTGGTATAAAATTTTAGGAGAATAAAGTTTTTACTTATTTTCTGTTTTTAGTTTTTGCAAAAAGGCTATTTGGTTATTTTTACCAACTTTCACTCTTGTCATAATTCTATAAGAATCTCAGTGAGAGTTTCCTTCCTATAAATTTTTCAATGTCAGTTTGATTTTAACTCTTGGAAAAAAAATTCTTTATGGTAGTAAATTGACTACTGTTTAGAATTAGAGAAAAGTTAGAATGTTGATTATAGTAAAGGATAAATGAATTATGATTTGTATACATAAGATATTTTTTAACGTTTAATTTTGAGAGGATGTTGGCTCCAAAAAGAGACGAATGTAAAAATATAAATCATAAATCTTTAAAAGAACAGAGATAATTATATGAAATACACCTCAAAGAAAATATGAAACTTTGAGTTGTTCATAATTTCATTTAATTCTCAAACTTAGAATTCACATTAATTTTAGGTAAAAGAAATCCTACAACTTTTAAAATTTATAACATAGAAAGCTAACATTTACCAACTTCACATTTCCTTTTTTTTTTCCTTTTTCACTTTGGTGATACTCAAGCCTAAAGAAATACAAAGGTGAAGCAAGAGTAGCACTGAGGGCAAAAAATTAAGTTTGTTTCTGCATCCTAGACATCCCGCATGCCTCACCATAATATCAGTCCTTCCATACTCCAAGAATTTAAAAAAATAAAGTTTTGCAATAGTGTCTTCTAGTACCTTCATGGTTTCATCCTTATAATTAATCTTTGTAGTTTATTTTGGTGTAAAATGTAAGGTATGGACCCAAGTTTATTTTCCCACATGACTCTCAAATTCTAACAGTAATTATTTTATATACTCTTTGTCCCCTATTCCTGATTTAAAATGCTACTTTATCACCAACACAGTTTCTGTTGCATCTGGTTTTATTTCTATTCTCTCCATTCTGTTCAGTTCATTTACCAGTAACATATTGTTTTATTGTAGTTTGGTAAAATGTTACATATTGATTAAAGGCTAGTCCCCACTGGTTTCTTTTTCAGAATGTTCCTAACTATTTGTGTCTATGTTCCCATTTCAATTTTAGAATTATTTTTTAAACAAAAATTGTACTAATATATTGTGATTGTCTTTAAAAAATCTGAAGTATAAAGAGAATTGAAATTTTTACAGTGTTGAGTCTTCCTATATAAGAACACAGAACTCTTATCATAGGTTTGTCATTTTCTCAGTAGTATATTTAGTTCATAATAGATTTCATACATTTTCTGTCATTTATCCTGAGTAATTTTGTCTTTTTTTTGCTATCTAACCATTTTAATTTTATGTGCGTGTGTGCTAAGTCACTTGTGTTGTGTCCGACTCTGTCACCCGATGAACTGTAGCCCACCAGGCTCCTCTGTCCATGGGATTCTCCAGGCAAGATACTGGAGTGGGTTGCCATGGCCTCCTCCAAGGGATCTTCCTGACCCAGGGATCATACTCATGTCTCTTACGTCTCCTGAATTGGCAGGCAGATTCTTTATCACTGGCATCACTTGGGAAGTCCTTTAATTTTGTTTATATATATATGCCATTGATTTCTGGGTATTAATTTAGTCTCATCTAATTTAACTTAATTTTCATACTTCTGAATACTTAGAGTTGATTCTCAAGTTTTTCATGTACACAGTCAACATCTACAAATGAAGATACTTTCACACTCTCCTTTTTAAGTTTTTGTCATCTAATTGCATTGATTGGTGTCTCGAGAACAATGTTAATAATTGTGGTGATTAAAGAATCCCATCAGTGGGATACTTTAATTGATTTTCCCAGTAAGCATGATACTGGGTGTTTAGGTTTTTTTTTGTTGTTGTTGTTGTTTTTATTGGGATGGCTATTTCTTTGTTAGGATAAATAAAAATAAATTGATATTGTTAAATAAAAGTTTAAAAAACTCCAGTATGGATTTGGCATTATTGTAAATGCCTCTTCACCATTTATGTTGATAGGAGACACTTGTATGATTTGTGTCCTTATGAATATTAGATTATTTTAATAGATTTCTTAATCTTGAATCTTTTGGCATTCCCAAACTGAATTTCACTTTATCAGAGTATATTTTTTAAGTGTTCTGCTGGTTGCTCTTTGCTAATATGTTGTTTGCTTTTTGCATTTCTCTTTGATAATAAGATTATTCTGTAAACTTTTCTGTGTTTTTTGGTAATGTTTGTCCAGTGTTGAGAGTGTGTTACTCAATTATTTGGAATCTTTCCTTTTTCTTTGAAGAGTTGAATTGAATGCTCTTTTGATATTTGATAAATATTTGGGGTGCTTTTAAAAATGTAAGTTTCTCAGCTCTATCCCCTCAAAGTCAGTAGATCTTGAAGGATAAAAATCATGTCACTCTTGGTCACTGAGTACATAACAGTGCCTGGCACATAGCAGTGGGTACTCAGCAAGTACTGGACTGACTGATCATGAATGTGGGTTTTAAAGAAGTCTCTCTGAATTGTTCTGATAATCAGACAGCCTTGAGAAGCACTGCTCTAAACCAGGTTCCTGTTTAAGCTTGTGTAATACCAAGTGTGTAAAGCTGTTTTATTTATGCAGCTAATATTCAAAAGTTTACTTGGTGGATGTTAACTAGACTTATTGCTGTACCATTTTGTAATATATACAAATATCCAATCATTATTTTGTATGTCTGACACTAATGTTAAGTCAGTTATTCCTCAGTATAAAAGATTGCCTGGGTTATTAAAGAATTAATACAAGGATATTTTGAACTCTTGTTTATAAAAAATTTTAATAGCAACTCTTAAACAGCACTCGATATCAGAGCAAATTATTACTGTGTCCTTTCAAAAGCGAACATGCTAGTTTTTTGGCTCAGCGATGAGGTGTGTGTATCATCTGTCAAAGCTGAATGAGAGGTATTTTACCTTTTTTGAGTATGAAAGAGACCTTCCTCATAAGTCTGCACCCAAGTGATGTCATCTCCCCATCCTAAAACAGAAGAGGGAAATCAGTATATCACCTTAAGACCCTTGAAGAGTTCTGAAATGCGCATGTGCAGTTTGGTGTAGAGGATACGTGGTTGCGAGTGGATAGGAAGAGGCTGTGCCCTTTTAGATGATAGTGCTGAGGTTGTGCAGCTGTGTTTCACATCTCAACTGCCCATGGCCTCGAACCCAGTAAGTGTCCAGTAAATGCTATTATGGTTAGTGGTGATTGGTAAGATATCTTTGGACCATGCAAAAACTCTGGTTTCAGGTTGTACAGGAGAAGACTAGTTGATCTGCATGGTTTCTAAGTGCTAGTGCTAAGTTGCTTCAGTCCTGTCTGACTCTTTGTGACCTGTGGACTGTAGCCCGCCAGGCTCCTCTGTCCATGGGATTCTCCAGGCAAGAATACTGGAGTGGTTTGCCGTTTCCTCCTCCAGGGGATCTTCCAGACCCAGGGATTGAACCCAAGTCTCTTGCATCTCCTGCATTGTCAGGTGGGTTCTTTACCACTACCGCCACCTGGGAATACCATGCATACTTTGTCAATCTATTATGAATATGTTGGACTGTACTGTCTACTGTCCTTGAAGCTTGAGTACTGAGTGATGTTGATGCCTTTAAAATCAGAATACATCATGAAAAAAAAACAACAGAATTTCAAATTTTGCTTTTGAGTTTTAACAGGTAAAAAATTCTGCTGTGGAAATTTCATGGTTGAGAGATAAACCAATAAAACACAGTTGTTTTGGAAGCATCCAAAAAAAGAGTGGGAGGAGAGGGACACAGAACCCAAGGAGTAGAGAGAGAACCTACTTAAGTAGGTTCTTAAAGAGGTGATGTGAGGAGTTGGGGATGTGTACTGGTGGTTGAAGAAAGACAGTCAAGGAGAATGCACAAAGTATTTCAAAGTATTTTCTGGAAATGTCTCAGTCTACAGATGGAAAAGATTGAATTAATTTGAAAATAGAAATATTTGCAGCCTGGTTTGTGCTCAGATTTTCTTGTATGGAGTTTCTTGTCTTGATACCGTGGCTTAGAAGATGGCCAGGACTTATGAAGTGAGATAAATATGATTGCATGATTTTTGCCAGATTTTAGTTTGTTTGTTAATAGAGCCTATTAAATATAATTAATAACAATACATCTATGGAAAGTAGATACTTTTTTTGGTCTGCTTACATAGTGTGCAACCATTACCGCAATAATTAAGAGAACATTTTTGTCACCTGAAAAAAGCAACCCTTTCCCACTCAGTTATCACCACCTAATCCTTTCATTTCCTCAACCCTGAGAAACACTGAATCCACTTTCTGTCTGCAGGTTACCTTATTCCACATGTTTTGTGTCTGTGGAATCACATAGGACGTGATGCATTTTATGGCTGAATGCTTTCATTCAGTACGATGTTTTCAAGGTTCATCCATGTCATTGCGTGTATTAGGACTTCATTCTTGGGCCATTCCATTGTAACACTATACCACATTTTGTTTATCCAGTTATCATTTGATGAACATTTGGGTTGTTTCTACTTTCTGGATTTTATGAATACTGCTGCTGTGAACACGTGGGTGCAAAACTTTTGGGCAAAAGTATGTTTTCATTTTCCCTGGGTATATCCCTAGAGGTGGAATTGCTGGACCAAATGGCAACTGTACCTTTAACATTCTGGGGGCACTAGGAAACTTTTCCCAAAGTGACTGCGTTATTTTACTCCCTTACCAGAAATGTGGTTGGTTTTTTTTTTTTTTTTTTTTTGCCTGATTTTAGAAGCTGGGCATTGGAAGACCAACTTATGTTAGCTTAGTAACTCCCCCCCTTAGCAGGAATCATTCCTGTCTATAGTAATCCTGGAGGATTTTCTTTGCTTGAGCATATGTAGTAACTTAATGCTACATTTAGCATTCGGTAAAAGTTCCTTTGGAAACAGCCAGTGAGACTAGGCTCCTACTAAATTTCCCTATTCTGTTGCAAACACCATTCAAAGCCAGAATGTCAGCAATGGGAAGAATCACTGTTCTCTGCCCTTAGCGAACTTGGTTCTGCAAACATTAAAGGAACATCTGCTATGTGCCTTGCTCCACTTGGCACTGGCTGTAAAAGGTGGAGGAGTACAGTCCCTCCTCTCAAACAGTTTGTTCATAGCTTGGCAAGACAGTCATATTGTATTACAATTGTTTTTATACACTTTACCTCATAATCACAATAGGCCAAAGGTGGTACAGAATTTAAACTGTCTTCAGGGTCTCTGTTCATTGTTGTTGTTTAGTCACTCAATCGTGTTCAACTCTTTGTAACCCCATGGACAGCAGCATGCCAGGCTTCCCTGTCCTTCACCATCTCCTGGAGTTTGCGCAAATTCATGTCCATTGAGTTGCTGTTGCCATCCCACCATCTCATCCTCTGTTGCCCCCTTCTCCTCATGCCCTCAATTTTTCCCAGCATCAGGGTCTTTACCAATGAGTCAGCTGTTTGCATGGGGTAGCCAAAGTATTAGAGCTTCAGCATCAGTCCTTCCCATGAATATTAAGGTCTGATTTCCCTTAGAACTGACTGGTCTGATCTCCTTGCAGTCCAAGGGACTCTCGAGCATCTTCTCCAACACCAGAGTTAGAAAGCATTGTTTCTTTGGCACTCAGCCTTCTTTATGGTCCAACTCTCACGTCCATACATGACTATTGGAAAAACCATAACTTTTAACTGGATGGACTACTTTGTCAGCAAAGTGGTATCTCTGCTTTTTGATATCTAGGTTTGTCATAGCTTTTCTTCCAAGGAGCAAGTGTCTTTTAATTTCATGGTGCAGTCACCGTCCATGGTGATTTTGGAGTCCAAGAAAATAAAATATGTCACTGTTTCCACCTTTCCCCCTTCTATTTGCCATGAAGTGATGGGACTGGATGCCATGATCTTAGTTCATAATTCAGTACTATTTTTACTTGTCATCTGAGGTTTCATTCACCTTCAATATGTGTTTATTGAATACTTACTGTATGCCAGGTGGTGGTTGCAGAGCATTTCTTTTAATTCCAAAGAAAGTTAAGGTTTTGGGGTTCATTTTTATATTAAAGTATTTCTTAACTTTTTCCAATTAATATTCCCTCTTCTCCCTAACAATGTCTCTGTTTAACTGGTGCTGCTCCCCACTCTAAGCGGCTCCATGTGCTACTTGGTGATACACGTGGTGTTTTAATTCAGCCCTTGAGGGTCTTTAAAGGCAGTGACTAGTTTGGTCTTTGGCAATTGAAGGCTACTGAGTTCATTGTTTTATGACTATTGTATGTGTATATATAGAGATCATATGATAAATTACACTTAGGAAAATATTTCCCTCTTTTATTTATTTTGCAAAAGCTTACTGATTTTTTTAGACTTTCTGTGCTTTTAAACTGAAGCAGAATTAATTATTTTGGCTAAATATTGGTGAGCAGTTGGCTGGTATCCCTTTATTAAGGGATAAATTAACTGGAAAGAAAGTCAATATTTTCAAATTTGAAATTATGCTATAGTTTATCTCTATTTGTTTATTACTTAGTTCACATTGCCATTCCAAGTGCTGGTCAAGTGTTTTTTTGGGTTTGCTACTAATTTAGAATTAGCTATGTGCAGATGAATGATTTTCTTTACATTTCTGATAGCTGAAAATGTAGGAATCAGTTTTGAGAATCTTGTTTATATTTCTTTACAGGTGAAGATATGTTTGTTTCTTAGGACGAAGTAAAGCAGTTGGTGCAAAATAGATGTTTTCTAAACAGTGAAGCCCTTGACAAATCTAGATCATGTTGTCTAAAAATACTATAGCAGTTACCCGGAGTCAGCATAGCAAACACTTGGTTAACCAGAATTCTTGGAGGATGGAGATAAAATAATTTTTGAGGGATCCCAGTATAAAATCATTTCAAATTATTTTCTTGCCTGAATAAATATTGGACAGAGCACTGGAACAGATTCTACAGAAATCCTGATTGTGTTTAGGATATCAATATGACATATCAATCAATAGAATTTTCCAGAATTTTCTAGGACTGTGGTTACCAAAGTTATTTGCAATCGGACTAGTTTTGCACTATTTCTATAGAAGATGCAGCAAAATTTTTTTTTTTTTCATTTGATTTGGCTCACTCTTTAAAATTAACTGATACTTTCTGGGATTCTTTTCCCCCTGTTTTCAAGTGACACACAACAAAAAATCCCAGTTAAGTGAGTTGGTTTTATACCTAGACTGTGAGCAAGAGATGAATTTTAAAACAATCCAAATAATTGAGTTTAGAAAATAAAATGAAATTCCAGTACCTCTTGAAAGTGTCTGAGGAGGTCTCTTTTCCTTTTTGATAGCAATGGCAAGGTTGGAGGAAATTGTGATGAATAAGAGGCAGAGGACCAGAGCTGAGTGTGACATCATGTCTTCTCGAGAATCCTTCAGAACTGGATGGTAAAAAATGTCAGAACCTAGTAGGTTACCTCAGGCTGTCATCAAGACATTTGTTAAGAGTTATACCAAACTTAGGCTGACAGGTTGCTTTGCTTATGTGAGTTGACATGGTACAACCATCTAGAACTTTCACATTTTATTTTTAAATTATTGTAAAAAGGCAGTCAATCCAATAAAAGTCCACTTGATGAAAAGCCACAGTGTTTGTGCTTCCTGGGGGCGGTACAATGAGGTTGACACCCAAATAGGCACCCAAAGCCTATTTCTGACAGCATTTGAGTGCTTACAGTGCTGCTTTAAATCTCAGATAAAATCATGTTGATTAAAGTGCTTGCCCCTGCTGAATGCAGTGGGAAGGTGACAAGTGTCATGCATAAATAATCTTTGCCTTTTGATTAAAACACCATTTTAACTTTATGCCAAGACAGGAAGATGAGGCATGAACAATTAGTGCTTAAAATGGAAATGAGAGGAAAAATGGAATATGGAGGTCCTTGCTTTTCAGTTCCTTGATAGTCATTTATCTTTATCCTCCCATCTTTTACTCAGCGTTTTGCTCTTCACTGTGCAACCCTGCCCTATTTAAACATCAGGCCTCTCATTTTAGTATCTTTCTCTTGCCAGTGGTGCATTTGGTTCTCTCCTGGATTGAAAATGGTTGCTTCGGTTCTATTGAAATTATTTTCTTTCCTAATCTGGAAAGGACTCACTCGTAAATTTCTTTGTATTGAGAAACCCTGTTAAACAATAATCATGTTACTGGTAAGTATTGCAGTTTAAGTTCTTATAACTTGGTAATACTATAAAACATTTCCAAATGCCATCTTTTACCTTATGGATGTCATCTTGTACTGTGACGATTGGAACAAAGAAAGGGTAGGTTTCAGTAGGGGATAAAGACAGTTGAATCTGGAGCACACAGTCCAATGTGGGGAGGGCAGGCTTTGTTGGAGTGAAGGTTGCTGTAGAGAAATGGAAGCAACCATCTAAGGCAGGGTCTTAACTTGGGTCCAAGGAGCTTTTGGACGATCTGTGATTGAGCTCCTGAAGTCTCAAAAATCTCTGAATTTGTCTGTAAAATTTTATGAGCCTTTGTTCTCTTCTGGGAAAGAGAGCCCCCAGTTGCCTTAAGATTCTTTCAGGTATCTTTAGAAGCAAGGAGTTAAGAAGCAGTTAATCTGGAGGAAGCATGAGAAAAAATTCTTTATGATACAGAAAGAAATAAGTAGGTAGAATCATCACTATCAAAAGAAGTTATAACTTCACCTTTTTCTTAGTTTAAAGCTGCTAAATTTAAATAGGAACTGATTTTTTTCAGATTTCAAGTTATTAGCTATGATTGTCAGACTGTTCTACTTAAATCAAAATATTTGTTTTCTGTTTGACATTGATAAATTGTAAAAGAGGTACTAAATATATTCCATAATGAAGACAGTCAAGTTATATATTAATGTTTTGGGTGAGTAGTAATTTCCCTGGTGAATAGAACATGAATGACTTACAATCCTCCAGTATCAGATGCCTGGGTTAATCTAATTGGGGGACACAGATGAACATGATATGGTCATGTGCTGGGAACAGCTTGCACTGCACTCGGAGGCCAATAACCACATGTCTATAATTAGGTGTTATAAACACTGGCAGCATTTTCTGACAGTACTTTACTTTTCAAAAGTAATTTAACATATGTCATTTACTTAAATATTTAAAAATTCTCCGTACAAGAAAAGAGGGAGTGAAATTTTACATTCTTTTCACAGGATATTAAAATTAGCTCCCTATGCTAAACAGTAGAACCTTGTTGTTTATCCATCCTATATATAAGTTTGCATCTATTAACCCCAAACTTTCACTCCATCCCTCTGTTCCTCTTTCCTGGGGAAGAGAGCTCCTTAGAGAATATTTAAAATAAAAATGTATATATATATGTATATATGTATATATATATATCTTTATATTCCTTACATATATATCCTTTATGACTGAATCACTTTGCTATACTATACAGAAGAAACTTGCATACTATAAATCAGCTATACTTCAATAAGATAATTAAAAAAAGAAAACAGAGAGGAACAATTGTTACTTGCAGCATAATTTTTAAAGGGTTGCTTTGATCAATGTTAATTTATTATAGTAACATTAATACAAGTAGAGAATAAAAGTATGAAGCCAACAAAGAAAATCTAATTTATTAAATGTAGAAAAATTTCATTGAACTTCCGTCTGACTTACTGAAGGCCTCAGTGTTATACAGTGAAAAGTTGATCCTTTAAATATAACTGAGCTTGACCCCTGATTAAATAATCTGGAAATTTTGCTTGCTTACCTGAAATAGTGCTCTTGCTGGAAGTGTATTCTGGATGTTTCTGGTTAAAAATGGGTGTGGATTTATAGACACACACGCACCTGATCTAGAGCCCCACCTGCCTTGAAACAAGAGCACAGTCCACCTGCAAGCTTATAAAAATAGGCTTGTCTGAAAAATCTGTGCTGTTCTCCAGTTCTCCTGCTCTCACACTAAGAAATGAAGTGTCTTCTTTCTAAGTTCAGATTGAGTGTCCTGATAGAATGAGGCCAAATACCACCTTTGTACTTTTTTTTTTTCATCCACCTTTTACTTCCCAGGGTAATTTAATGTTTGGCTGGAGTTCAACACCAGGAAAAGGTTGGGGGGTGGCGGGGGGGTGACAGGCAGGGAGGAACTGGTATGAATGTCGGAACTGTGTGTGCACTATTGTTCTCGATGAAAGGTCAGTGAGGCTTGAGATTAGATATAAAACAAAGAAGAATTCCTAAGGTTTACTCTCTTTACAGAACTAGAATTAGTAGCTGAAGAGAGCAGATCCCCCCTTCTTTTCTGAGAAAGAGAAAAAGAGAAATATGCTGTTTTAAAATTTGACATTTTAATAGTTTGACTCTGTATAAAATCCCTTACCTTACTGTGCCAAGAAAAAAAAAGGAAAGCAGGTAATTAGATACTATATTTATCTAATAGTTGAAAAGAATTTTTTATAATTAATCTATGATTATGGAAAAGCATTTTTGAAGTATGGAGTTGTGTCAAAAAGAAAGTAAACTTCTCTTGCCCTTCCCCAGTACTGCCTGTCTTTTTCTGTTCACCCCCTCCCCAACAGACACACGTCTACCTACCCCACCATGTTCTACTTTATGGACTTAATTATTGTTAAAGTGATCTAGGGCAGAGTCTTCAAACCTGGCCCGTCTGTTTTTGTGCAGACCAAGAACTAAGAGTGGTTTTTACATTTTAAAATGTTTTTGGGTGAAAAATCAAAAGAATCATAATTTGTGACATGTGAAAATTGTATGAAATTCAAATGACAGTATCTACAAATGGAAATGACTCGATGAAGCACAACCATGTCCACTGTCTTGCTATTGTCTCTGGTTACTTTTGCATTCTAACGAAGAAGTGTGGTGCTGAAACAGGGACTATATGACCCGTGAAGTCTTAAAATATTTACTCTCAGGTCTTTTATAGAAAAAGTTGGCTGATTTTTAATCTAGGTGGTTGTTTAACAAATTTTTGTCTTCCTTCCTCCTTCACTGTCTTTCTCTTTTTTTTTTGATTATTCATTATATTAATAAATGTACTGCTAAAAAGTGGAGGTGGTGGTTATCTTCTGACATTAAAGAGTATCCTTCTAGTATTTTAACTTTGGATATAGTACTGGCTTGATTTTATCATGTTAAGAAAGTAGCCATTGTTCCTACATCATGTCTCTTCAAGGCAGGAATGTTCAGTTTTGTTCTATGAAGACGTATATATATGAGATAGTAAATTTATATGGTAAATGTGTTCCTTTTGTATAGTAAGTTTATAGTTTTCCTGCTAAATTTTCCTTGTGATCCTAAGAGAAACCCCACATAGCCAGGTTTTATTATTCTTTTAGTATACTTCTGATTCCTGTATTCGTTTAATTGTACTTTCTTTTATAGAATCCTCAAAGGGAACCTTCCTTGGAACATGCTACTGAAATAGAATCCTTCCTGCTGAAGATTCAGAAACTTGAGGTATAGTGTTCATTTTACATCCAGTACTTACAAGCAGAGAAACAGCTGGGCAGTCATCCTTAATGTTTCCTCTTAGAATGGGAGAGCTTTCACCTTGTTCTTGACTGGTAGTGGTTTATCAAAAAATCTTAAAACATTCTGAGGACATCCCCGTTAAATGCCTCAGAGATTATCTGTTTTAATAGATAGTGAGAATAAGAAAGTCAGCTACTTGAGGAGTAATGAAATGAGGTCCCAAGGTGTCTGAGCTGATCAGTGTCATTTTTTCTTTCCTACTAGTGTGACCACGTAGTATATCTTGTAAACTAGGGCAACGTTGAGAGTAAAAGGAGGTAATAAAGGTCAATGGAATTAGGTAATTTTAGATGATATTTTGAAACATACACACATCAGCCAAAATTGGTTTTATTGTACAGTAGATCACAAATAGTTCTATTGAAGATTGTTCTTTGAAGTAAAAACACTTAAAATATATGTACATTGTAGCAAAAATTTAAAAAATTCTTTAATAAACATTGATCAGTTTCTTAAGTATGCTTGTCTCATATACCAGGTCTTTATTTCTCAGTGTGATCTTATATTTCTTCATAAAATTGTCTGCAATCATCTTCAAAGTTGCCCGTATGATTAGTATATTTAGGATTGTCATCAGCTTCAACTGCTACTTCTCTGTAGATCATACTTTTTTTAAGAAAATAATTCTTTCTGTAGTTGCTTGGTTATCTGTTAAATTTGAGAAAATGGCACATGATATTTGTAATCTTATAATTTAGCTTTGTTGAAAAATCTCAAATACCTTCTTTTAGTTTTTGTTTCAAGTCATTTCTTCACCGTTTCATTCCATTTGGGAATACTATATAAATTTATCTAATTAAAAGACTTTTAATCAGTCAAGAGAGTCTACCCTTGTTAATTCTTTTAAGGGTAGTGAC